GTCTTAGTGCTGCCCTCTTCAGGTTGAACGGTGGCTACTGCAGTTGAATTTTCCTATTGGACGTTCTGCACTTCGTGACGTACGCAGGTTTCAGCTCACCACCCTCGAGCTACGCTCTTGGCAGTATAAAACCAGATTGTTTCGTCAAAACCAGTCAGGAGTTGGAATAGCGAGTATTGAAAACGATCAGGATAGAGTGTTTTAGCATCTATTTCGTCCTCTCTCCCCTGTGATCTGCCACTTTTTCAGTATTTTTCAAATATTTCCAGTGGGTGGAGTCAAAAGTGGCGACTTGGATATCTGAGTTGACTAAACTTTATGACAACTTGACAAAAAGTGACAACTTGGATATCTGAGTTGACTAAATTTTGAGGCAAAGCGAACACTTTTTTGGGTTAAAACATTTTTTTTTTTTTTACAGTGAAACCTTTGGCCTATCTGAGCCCTGTCTTTCAGCCCCTACATGAATTCATTCAGTATTCATGAACAGTTACCATGAGAAACATCATAATCAACACAATTCACACAAAAAAAAAACAAATAAATAAACAATTGCTTTATGGTGCAGAATGTTTAACTTTAAGAAAAAGAAAAGAAAATGTCTTCTCGGCTGAAATTCAAGAGCTGGTTGTCTAAATTACTTTAACCTGGAATACACAACTTTCTTTCATTTCTATAATTCACATCTGTTAAAGGATTGTTAGGCTGTCTAAATTTGGAACAGTTGCTACCCAGATAACAAATTCATGTTCTAAAGACATTTTGGGAATTTGCAATGTTTCTAAAATGTGATTAGAACGCTGTTTTGATAAATTATGTTTTTGTAACAACGTTCGGGAGGAACACACTCAAGTGATCTATAAGAGGAGGCCTACATACATACAGCCTATACTCAACCATGTTCCAAGTACTCTGATTATTTGGTAACACTTCAGTTAATTCTCATAGTTACTCATCAGCATGCATAAGATATTGACTGTTTATTATAATGCACATATGAATGCCTTATGCTGCATGACCATATTCTACATCCCTTATTGCTAAGCAGTAATTAGGAGTTTACTGAGGCAAAATCTTTGTAACAGTTAATAGTGAGAACTGGACCCTAAGCTAAAGTGTGACCCATTCGGTAAACATTTATTTATAACGTTAACATTCATTATGTACAATAACATCACAAGGATGTTCTAAAAAATGTTGTCCTCAGAACGTATCAAATATTAATAATGTTTTAAGAACATTTTATAAATGTTATTTAAAATACTACCCTCTACAAAACATTAGTAGTTTGGGAACGTTCCCTGCATGTAATCTCTGATTAGCTATCTTGGACAACCGGTGGTCAAGATGTTTTTTGGAACTGGTCAACTATAACTAATGACTGACTTAGAGCAGCTACCATATTCCACCCTGTAAAAAATATTGTTGGTTTAACTTAAAAAATGAAGTAACCTGCCATAAAATATTAAGTTCATTGAAATGGAAAAATTGAGTTAATACAATGAAGATTCAGAAACTCAAAATATTATGTTATCTGAACTACATATATTATTTAAGTTAAGTTTAAGTTAAAAATGTTGCGATTAAAAATCATGAAAATATTTTTTACAGTGTATGGGACATAATAGAATAGAATAGAATAGAATAGAATAGAATAGAATAGAATAGAATAGCTAACCTTTGTGTGAGTTTTGAAGTCTTTGAAACCTGTTCGACTGTCCCCTGTGCAGTGCTCTGATTCCGGACACGCTGTTGCCCATGACTGCTGATCTCCAGATGTTGCACTTCGAGCGTCAGGCTCTAATAACTCACACTTATCGTCCTTCTTGACTTGCTGTTGCTATTATGTCCGTGACAAGTCAGATCCACAAGTAGAGATCCACAAGTTTTTCTCTGCTCGATGAACTGTCATTGAAAAAACACATCAGCTGCTCAAACGCGCCCAAGCTGCAGGTGCAAGACGCGCGTTTGCGCTTCGGGAAAACGCACGGCAAGCCACAGGAATAAGGTTTGCAATGAACGAAACGGGAATAAATTGGATATTTTATGTAGGTCAGCTCAAAACCGATTTGATTTGCAAACTTTTCTTCCCTCCTCAGATATTTGTTTTGTCATCCTGCTTTGGTGAGTTATTCTCCATCGGGGATTTAACGCGCATCTGTCGCCTCTGCTTCTACTTTAGATTAGATCAAATACACAGCCTCAACCATCATTCAGGATAATGCGTCCTCATAATTATATAGCCTAATCCCTTTAATCACTCACCTATAGGCTACAATTTGGCTACTACTGGATATTTGTTTAAGCCAACAGAACCAATCAAAACTTATGTAATATTATTTGCTGCAAGATGAGACTTTAATAGCTCAAGTGTTGACGCACGAAGTCATGACAATGTGTCACTTATTGGCGTTATAGTGACTCAACATTATACCTCAAAAATATTCGAACAAAACAAGGTAGATCCAGAAGAGGGAACAGTCAAAACATATCGTAACAGTTACACATTCCATTGTTTTCTTCTATTTTAAGATATTGTTTTCAATATCTTATATACAGTATATATATATATATATATATATATACTTTTAGTCTAGGATATCATATAATAAATTATTATTAAGAAAATATACTTTTTTTGCATGTATTATAATTTGGAAATATTGGAATGCAAAAATGTTTTTTTTTGTTTAATTTTATAAATAATAGGCCTAATTAATAAAAATAAAATAAAAACAAAAATAATTCTAATTTATTTGGTAATATTTCGAATTTATGTAACATAATTGACTATTTTAAATGACAGATTGTCTTCAATGGGAACTGACTAGACACAAGTGACTCAACTGATCTCTAGGAACTTCCACACCTTTCATTGTGTCATCTGACGCAGGGCTATGGACACTGAAGAGCAATTATAAAATGATTAACATAACTTTACCATCTTATGTAATCGACATGTTCTTTATCTGAGTACATGTGCAGATTTGTGATGATTCATTTAGAAAGGATTTGTTTTTAGTACACTGTAAAAAAATATTGTTGGTTTAACTTGAAAAAAAATGAAGTAACCTAGTTGCCTTAAAATTTTAAGTTCATTGAAATGGAAAAATTGAGTTAATACAATGAAGGAGATTGATTTAATCATCAGAAACTCAAAATATTATGTTATCTGAACCAGATAAATTATTTAAGTTGATTTGACAAAAGAAAAAATGTTGTGATTACAAATCATGGAAATATATTTTTTTACAGTGTAGAATTGATCTAGCCCTGAATAGATGATGTTATAGTCGGATTTTTGTTTGTGTTGGAGCGCTGATAAAGTTTTATACTCTCAGTCTCAGCCCTTTTTTGTAAACCCTCCTAAATATAAATATAACAGAAATAAATGTAAATACCAAAACAGCATTGAATATATAAAACATACATAACTACAGAATATAAAAAAAGTATAAAACATACTTCAATTTAAACTATTAGACGTCGATCCTTTAAAAGAAATAATAATAATCAGCCAATAATCACACTGTAAAAATGATATAAAAAATATTTTCAAGATTTGTTATCACAACATATTTTCTTTTGTCAAATCAACTTTATAATAATTTATTTAGTTGAGATAACTTATCATTTTGAGTTTCTGATGGTTAAATTAATCTCCTTCATTGTATTAACTCACTTTTTCCAGTTCAATCAACTTAAAATTTTAAGACAACCAGGTTACTTACTTTTTTAAGTTAAACCATCAATATTTTTTTACAGTGCACTTAATGTTACCTTAAGGTTTTTAAGCGGGGTTTGGAATGCATGTGTAAACCAACAACATCATTGTTGGTTTAACTTAAAAAGTAAATTACCTGGTTGCCTTATATTTGTTCATTGAAATCATTTTTTTTTTTTTTTTTTTTTTGCAGTTAATAAATACAATAAATAGATTGATTTAATCAACCGAAACTCAAAACATTATGTTATCGGAACCACATTGATTGTCTAAGTTGATTTGACAAGAAAAAATGTTGTGATAACATATCATGAATATATATATATACATATATACATATATACAGCACTGAAAAAAAAAATATTTTTTGCTCCTTGTTCATATTGCTTAATCAAAATGAGCTGAAGCAACACAATTGCTATACATTTTGTCCAAACTTAATTTGATTGTGTTCAATGGACTTAAATATATCTCAAATTTAAGTTTACTTAATCCGTTCATGTTGCATTGAAACATGGCAACTGAAACTGGCCGGTGCTTGTTAGTTCCCAGCATGCTTTGCATATGTTGAAATATGAAATGTGTTATTAAAGTGTTATTTTATTTGTTTTGGAGAAAATTAGAAAAGAAGGAAGACTTGATAGTGCACAGTTGTATTTAATGTTCAATTACATTAAAATTATTAGAACTATTTAAATTACAGTGGGTTACCATTGTTGGTCGACCAGTCCTAACCCGCTTTGTCAACAATAACCACAAATGTACAGAAAAGTGCAGCTAGACAACATGTAAAAGCAACTCAGATTTAACACACCATATCCTCATGTCTGTATCAGTAATTGTTGATGCTTTATCTGTCAAATGACATCATGTTAGCTCATAAAAGTTTGATGGTTAATAATAACAAAAATTAACCAGAATTTTTTTTAAGTGTCCAGCTTTACCATACAGCACATCCTCCTTACATAACGATGATTCGGGCATTTTAAAAACACTAATTTTCACTCCTCCTCATTATCAGACTTTAGCACTGTGTAAAGCTGCCACCTAGTGTAAAGAACAACACATAAACAAAGCAGGATTCATCCACTAAAAGCTTTGATGGACATTACAAGATTTATTTTTTATTGTTCATTTCAGGTGTCTTATCGCTGTAAAATATTTTGCAGTGCTGAGAGCGCCATGTCCCGTTGCAATCTTTTTGTGAGGGCTCCTACAGTAGTTGAACCGAGAAGTGCTCATGCTGTGGGTCACGGTTGTCAGGCAACAAGGACGCGTCTCCCCGGTGAACAAAAAACAGTGTCGTGCGTGTTGTTGAAGCAAAACAACCCATGTTATTGTGCTACAGTTATTATTAAATACAGAACAACAACATTTTGAGGGTTTTATAGAGGACTGACAATCGACCGCAATGGAGGAGGTATGTTAAACTGAAACTTTTGCCTTACTGTGGAGTGAAATAGCAAATATACTAGGCTAATAACGTTCGATCTTTATTAGCATCTCAAACACTGAATTAGTTGTGGGCCCAGTGAAATATCTTTCATATTTAATCCATTCAGTTACACTAACGTTATATCCTGAGGCATGTCCGTGTTTCGAATTGTTATAATGAAGTGAATACTAGGCCACAGTCTTTGCTAACATTAGATAAAATAGCTGTAATTTACGCTAAATAATATATTATTATTTGATTCAAGATAAATAGCCTAACGTTACGTTACATACAAAAAAGTGTAGGCTACTTTGTCAATTTTATGAAACTTATATGAGCCCTTTCGAGGTTGATAATACTTTTTAAGTCACAATGTCAACATCTTTTAAACATTAGCAATTAACATTTATGCTTAGTGAACATAGATGAAATGTGACACGTAAAGGAGTAGCCTAAGTTAGTTAACTTAAAAAAAAAAAACTTTTGCTAATTTACTCACCCCCATGTCATCCAAGATGTCTATGTGTTTCTTTCTTCAGTCAAAAAGAAATTAAGGTTTTTCATGAAAACATTCCAGGATTTTCTTCATATAATGGACTTCAATGGGAACCAAATGGTTCAAGGTCCAAATGAGAGTTTCAGTGCAGCTTCAAAGGGCTTTAAACGACACCAGACGATGAATAAGGGTCTTATCTAGTGAAACGATCGGTCATTTAAAAAATAAATAAAAAAGTTTAAGTTTTAAGCACACATGTTTGCCTTGCTCTGTTCTGTGATGAGCGTTCGTGACTCTCCTTTTTGAACTCGTTCATCAAAATGATCAAATCTTTTTTCGAGTCATGACTCGAAGGGTCCAGATAAGACCCTTATTCATCGTCTGTGTCGTTTAAAGCCCTTTGATGCTGCACTGAAACTCTCATTTGGACCTTGAACCGTTTGGTTCCCATTGAAGTCCATTATATGGAGAAAATCCTGGAATGTTTTCATCAAAAACCTTAATTTCTTTTTGACTGAAGAAAGAAAGACATGGAGATCTTGGACATCCAAAAAATAATATGTTGGCTTTAATTAATTTTAATTTGTCAACAGGTTCCACATAACTGGATTACGTTAAACAAACATAATTTGTTTGTGTAACTTCAACACAATGGAATTATGTAATTTAAATTACCCAATTTAAGTTGTCTCAGCGTGAATTTTTAAAGGCTTCCTGACATGATTCAAAGGCATTTTATTATATTCATTCATCCATTTATATTTCATTTGATTCAGTGACATTTAATTAAATTGATAGACTTTAGCTAGCTAATTGCTAGCAGAAGCACATATTAGCATTTTGAATGCTAAGATTTACATGCTCCTTCATTCAAAGCAATTGAAAATAAACGAAATCAGTCGACAGACAAACAAAATGCTCCACTCTTCTCCACAATGTAATTTAAATGATTTAATAATTCCAATGTAATTTAACATTAAACACTATTACACACTATCAAGTCTTCCCCTTTTCTAAATTTCTAAAAAAAAAAAACATAAAATCACACTTAATTTTAACATTTATTCTCTCTTAATTCAACCATATATGCAAAGCATGCTGGAACTAAAAGCACTGCCCAGTTTCAGTTAAGGCAACACAAATCAATCATGTAATCCAACACAAACGGATTAAGTAAACTTAAGTTGTTCTTAGATTTAAGCAGATTGAACAAAATAAAATTAAGTTCGGGCAAAATGGCAGTCGGCTCGCATACTGCCACCCTCTGGATGTACAGATTTTTTTTACTTAACATAAATGGTTTGTGTTTAGACAACACATTAGGATTTTGTACTGTTAAGTTGAGACAAAATTACATAGAGCTTAATAGAAAAAAAAAAAATTAAAGTCAAAAATAATTATTATTATATATTATGTAAAGTGCATTTTTTTGAGTGAAGAAAGAAAGACATGGACATCTTGGATGACATGGGGTGAGTAAATGATCAGCAAAAGTTTTCTTAAAAGTGAACTACTCCTTTAAACAGATAGGAGTTAGTTCTTCCCCACAAAAAGACAATTAATTATGACTTATAAGTCATTTAATGATACTAATGTTGGTAACCAGACTGTTGATGGTAGCCATTGACTTCCATAGCAGGAAAAAAATACTAAGGAAGTTAATGGCTACAGTCAACTGTTTCATTACCAACATTCTTCAAATGATCTTCTTGTGCTCTAGAAGAAAGAAACAGGTTTAGAATAACTCGAGGGTGAGTAAATAATGACGTAAGTTTTGTTTTTGGGAGAACTATCCCTTTGAGATCTGAATCAATTTTAAATGCTATTTAAAAGAACACAAATGGCAAATTATCAGAAAATGTCCCACTTTATACTCTTTATCCTTTTAATAACATAAGTGTAAAACTATTTAATTTTTTTACAGCATGAATTGCAAATTAACCACTAATTATGAGTCTTGGACAGTTAACAGTTCCAGTAGCAGTTCTTTTTTCACCAATTATTTATTTTTCTGCTGCAAACTGCCTCAAGCTTTTTCATCCCATAAATCTTTTGTAAACCTTTGAAGTGCAAGATCTAAAATGATCAGTTGAGAAAAAAATATGTGTATTTTTTAAATATGAGATATAAAAAATATATTTCGACCAAAATTGATGTATTTAGATGGATTAGAGAAAGCTCCAGTATATGATTTTTTTCTTTGTGTGTGTGATGGTTTCTCCATGAAGCCTGTGAACACTCTGAACAATCTGTTTTAAAAGCAGCACCTGTTGCCAGCTCTTTGTTCTTTGTGTTTGATCATTTTAGTTTAACATCAGCAGTGCTAGAGTAGACTTGCAAACTGTTACAAAACTGTAAGGCACAGACTCATTTCAACTTATTCACAGTACACTGTCTGCATAAGTGATCAAATAGCATCTTATGATGTCACACTTATGCTTTCGAATACATTTTCAGACCGAGGACAGCACGTTCGAAACCATGGAAATAGACACCCAGGAGGTTTTAAAGGAGTTCTCAGGAGATGGAAGGTTTCGTGTGGAATATGAGAAGGTCGCCAATGCTCTGCAGAAGTCCCACAAGAACGAAAAGAGACTGATGGCCAAATGCATGGAGCTGAACGCAGAGTTGATGTCCACCTCTGTCAAACTATCCACAGCCATGAAACTATCTGATGAAGACCAAACCACAATCAGCACCCTTAAAATGGTACATTAGCCAGAACACTCTAAAATGGATGTTGTGTTCATTGTCTTCAAACTTTAACAAGATGACCCCTGAATGATTTCCTCATAACATCCCAGCAAATAAATTTAGGTTCTGGGAACGTTAGTTCTTGGTTCCCAGAACGTTCCTTGAACTTTCCCTTAAGGTTAAGGGAACGTTCCCGGAACATTCTCCTTACGTTATAAAAATGGAACCTAAATGGAACCTCTGTTGCCACATCCAAATTACCATCTGTGTATTTTACCGTTAATTAGGAAATTGACAAGGCCTGGAAAATGGTTGAAGCTTCACACAAAAAGGAGTTGCAGGCAAAAGAATCAATCCTGAAACTAAAGGAGGAAATAACCAATCTCCAAAATCTTGTTGGAAAAGGAGCTGGAGTCTTTGAGGGCCAAGAATACAGGTAAACAATATTATACTACTGTACATTCAGTCTGTTCTTAGTTTTCATTTTGTTTCTGGTAGAATGGAGGACGTTACAGTGAGTATCATGCACGCAGATAGCATTTTTGTATGTCTGACGCAATTCTTCTACTAATAATTAAACATAGCTCCGGTTCTGGCAGGTCACGTTAGTCAAGCTCGTATTAGCTGAGACCACGTTTACACAAAGCCGGGTATTTAACGAAACGAATATTTTCCCCCTCACCGTTTTCAAAAATAACATTGTGCACACACCCGCATAAATATGCCGTCGAGCGCCGTCATAACTATGCCAAACCTATTGGCGGGAGAAGGATAAAGCCATGCAAGCCAATCAGAATCCTCAGAATCGACAAGAGAGAACCTAAAACGTCGTTTCTCCCAGTTTACACGACAACATATAACCGCCGTTTTCAGAAATCCCCACCTTGGCTAAAAATGGGGTTTTCGTGTAAACGAGAGGCCAAACCGCAGGGAAATATCTATGTTTTCCCTTCGTTCTAAACGGGTGCCTGACTCTCAGCTGATATACGACGCCTATCTCTGTATAAGGGCCGGTTCACATATCGCATCTTTTGCGCGCTCAAGTTCGTTATTTCAAATGTAGGCGCGCGGTATGCGTGCTCATAATGGTCGCGGTGCGACGCGCTCGTTTTTTCCATGCGCGTCCGAGCCGCATCGAGATAAAAACATCTCAACTTTTCAGAATACCGCAAGCGCACCATACGCACACAATAGGTCATGTGACAAGAACCAACTGAAGCGCAACCGCCCTGGCGCTTTGGAAAATGGAGAATGCGGCGCGCCCAGCGTTTTCTACGCGTTTTTAGGTGCTATATGTGAACCGGCCCTAAGGCTACACTGTAAAAAATAAACCGTAAATTTTACGGTAAAAAACTGGCAGCTGTGGTTGGCAGAACTTTACTGTTAAAAATACGGTAGGAACGTTAACGGTTTTACAGACTTAACTTAAAATTTACAGTAATAAAATGTATTTTATTTTCTGAAAAAATTTTGATTTACCAACTTATTGACGTATTGATATCTGTTTTAGACCATTGTAGTATACTGACAATCATCACAGCAGTAATGAGAGTTACATGAGCAATCACAGCTCATCGCAAGTGATTACTTATTTAAGTAATACATAGACAAAGAAGCTGCACAGTGTCATTCCCGCAAACATTAAACACCATCATGGTAACACACATGAAATTAAAAAAAAATGCAATAAACATTAATTTAACAACATTAAATGTACCATAAAACCCTAATGTACATAACTGATTAGAAAAAAAAACAATAAAACTATGAGGAACCATAGTTATTTTAACAAAAATACATCAAATGTGAAGTGTCACACAGGGAATTATGGGAATGTCAATTTACGGTTTTTCACTGTAAATTATACAATGATTTGTTCTTTTTCACTTTCAAAACTGTAAATTTAACGGTATTTTACTGTAAAATTATATCACAGTTATTTACCGTATATAGTACGGAAACTTTCTGTTAACCAATTAACAGTTTTGCGTTGTAGCATTTTTAAGGTATTTTACCGTTAAAATCACAGTTATTTGTTTACACATTAACATTCTGAAGAGAAAACGCAAAGGTGGGAAATCCGCGTGCATATGGTGACACAAAAGTGTGTGAAATTCGATGTATAATGAACTCCAGGTGGCTAGGTGGCAATGTGATACACTACCACACAACAACATCAAGTCCGCGCAACTGTGTACGCGGGAACGCTACGGTGGAGCGTTTTTAAGATTTCCACTCTGGCGGGTGGTTTCAGTTTTTTTGCATTTTTAAGCCCCAAAAGCGCCGTCACCGTGTAAACGAAAGGCACATCCGATCAAATATTCTCGTGTAAACAGGGCCTAAGATCCTTCAGTATTATCAGCAGCTATCGCATTTCTCAGGAGCGAATTACCCTCCTCCATCCCTAGCTCCTCCTCTCGTCCAGTCAGGATTTGGTATTGTCCTTTGAATCAGAATAAATTCTCGAGTTATGTTGTACGTTAAAATCGTATTAATTAATGAAATCTGCATACATTTATGTTTATTGTGTCCTGTTTACCCTAAGTGCTCACTTTGGCTACATGGATGCGAAGGGAGTTCTTGGCCTAGCTATCCTAGCTATATGCTAATTGTCAATCGTATTTGACGATAGACATTTTTTATGTGCTTGTGCTTGTAGATTCTGTGTGATGGCATTCAGAGAAACTATAACCTTGTTGAGGTGTTCTGGTGGGGATGGAGAAGAGCGATGCTTGTTCATAAACCTTGTTTTGAATGTGTCTAGCATGGGCGATCTGTTAAAGAACATAGAGGAGCTGACCAATGAGAGAGACAAGCTGCTGTCCGAGGTGGTGACACTCCGGGAGAACCTCACTAAAGCCACTGATGCTGCTCAGCAGGAGATAGAGGCGGAGAAAAACAAAGCCATGGACATGATTGCTCAGGTCTTACATAAAAAGCTTTGTATATGACGCCACTGGGTGTTTTGATAATATTATGTGAGTGTGCAGAGTAACTATACTGGCATTCTTTGAATTATTTAAAAAAATCACACAGATGCATAGAAAAACAGTTATTCAAAGATATAATTGGCTCTTTTCATCATTGGCATCAGTATCGTCAGTGCTTTACTGCTGTTATTCTCATTTTAAGTCCACGAGAATATTTTAGGTATAAATGAAAGCATTTTGTCTCCAATGTCTCGCTTTGTCAGCAAATCAATATTTGAAAAATGGTGCCTGGTGATTGTTACTCTTCAAAATTTTACGGATTTATTACAGTTCTAGTCTTGAGTCGTTATACGTTTTGTGAAATGGAACATAAACCATGTGAATGTGGCACTTAAACTTGCAAAATTGGACGTATTTGATTCTTCTGTCACCTCCCTGGTAAAATAAACTAGCTTAAATTGTTTACAGACTATAACACGGTAAGAAAATCAATAAGTGGCCTGACAAAGCATTTTAAACTCTGAATATATTCAATTCAGAAGTGGGTACAAAAAGTTAAAGAGTGGAAGGAATGAAAGTAGTAGTAATTTGCAACACGCTTTACTGTAACCACTGGTTGCTGTTGCTAATGATATATATGTGTGTTAGACAAACATTGATAGACAGACTGACAAAGAGATAGCCAGACAGACTGACTGATAGATAGATAATACTAATACTAATAGATGGATAGGATGGGCAGATAGATAAATGAACAGGCGGACAGATGCATCGATAGACAGACACATAGATAGATAGACAGACAGATAGACGGATGGATGGATGGATGGATAGATAGATAGATAGATAGATAGATAGAGAGATAGATAGATAGATAGATAGATAGATAGATAGATAGATAGATAGATAGATAGATAGATAGATAGATAGATAGATAGATAGATAGATAGATAGATAGATAGATAGATAGATAGACGGACGGACGGACGGATGGTTAGATGGATAAATACATAGATAGATAAATAGACAGACAGATGGATGGTTTAGATAGATAGATAGATAGATAGATAGATGGATAAATAGATAGATAGATAGATAGATAGATAGATAGATAGATAGATAGATAGATAGATAGATAGATAGATAGATAGATGGATAAATAGATAGATAGATAGATAGATAGATAGATAGATAGATAGATAGATAGATAGATAGATAGATAGATAGATAGATAGATAGATAGATAGATAGATAGATAGTCAGTCTCTAACCAAAACTATCCGTCTTTCACAGCTCCAGCAGGACATCCAGGTGCGCCAGAATGAGCTTCAACGAGAGACGAGGAGGAAGGAGAAGTTGGAAAAGGAAGTGAAGCAGCTTCAAACTGACCTGGAGTCCAAACAATCAGAGATTAAATCACTCACTCAGCAGAGCCAGCATCTGCAAGATGATCAGCAGAAACTGGAACAACAGCTCCAGGAAAGCAAAGTAAGAGACTCTGATCTAGTGACATGAAGCATCATGAACGAGTCAGTGGTAGGACAATCTTAGTATAACACTAAAAGAAACAAATCTGTTATAAAAAACTTAAACTTTTATCTCTGTAAGAAAGAAAGAAAATTTTATGACAATATTTCCAGTTCATTTCCATTTGAGAACTGGGAAGGTTTATCAGATTTAGCTAATATCTGACAAAATATATTGTTCCACAGAACATGTAGAACTTGTGACTATGACCAAGTAATTTGTTTTTGCTGACAGATTATAAATGAGAAAACCAGTAAAGAAATGGAACAACTCCAACATCGCAACACTAAATTGCAGCAGGATAATGAACAAAACTCCATCAGCCTAGAGCAACTGTCCCTACAGATCCAACAGCAAGCATCAGACCTGAAGGTACCCATACACACACACTAAATGAGATACTACGGACTTTGGTTGTTCTAATAAAAGTTCTTCTGTGATCTTTTGACAGTTCGATAATCTCTATTCAGTTTTTTTTCGCAAAATATGTTGTTTTCATGCCTTAGGCAGAACCTTGTCATGCTTTCCATCCTCAGAAAAATCTTTCTTCCTCCCCATATTGCATGAGAACTGTGACTTCCTTAATAATGCGGAACAACCTCTTTAAGTAGGTTTCAGCAAACTATTTAACGAACCTGTCTGAGATTGAGACCATTTATCTAAAAAGATATGAGGAATAAAACAAACACTTTCTTTGAAAAACTCAAATCTGAATGTTTATTGTACAGAAATACCGATATGTCACTTAATGCATAATAATCTGGAACACAGTGTAAATTTAGCATTTTACATTTGCAGACACCACAGATGTGGTACTTCACGGTCCATGAAAAAAAGAACAAATCTCTGCTCTACATTGATGCATAGAGTACTTGCGCACACACACACACACACCTACAGATTTATTGAGCTGCCCCCTTTAAGTCTGATAAAATTGTCTCGGTCTTATATAATTAGAGCTCTAGAGGACGAAGGTTTCCATTCCTCTTCCTCTCCCGTCAGACTATTGATGGATCTTTCCTGCTTAAAACTTCCGTCAGGCTTCCAGCGGGGGTTAATATAGCAAATGTTACATTTAATGAAATGTCCTTTATTCTCTTTGTTCTGTAGTGGCTTGAATGCACCGCTCTGAAGCAGGATATGCTGAAGCTATATTAGGAATTCTGTTTTAATACATGTCTTTTGTCGTGTGGTATTGTAGACCAATTAAGTATAACAAAGAACAAAAAGTCTGACTGAACATGTGAGGCTTTCTTTCTGTCTTTATTTTCTGCAGCATTCTAGAAAGAGACAAAGTCAACCTGTGCAACGATTCCACAAAATAAGATTTCCCTATTCTATTTTACTGCACCTTTTTCGTAGTGTCGGCACTCCCAGCTCGCCCTGTGAGTCAGTGTAAATGAGTAATGATTGCAAGCCTTATGGTCGCCACAAGGGGGCACAGATTCAGCACTGTGGATCACTCTTGCTCCAAAAATGTGTGTCCTGCTTATTCTCCAGCAATTAGCATTTTGTTGATCTGTTTATTGGCATTTATATTAGTCAGTTAATCATGTAATTAAATTCACTGTGATGATATAATCAAATTAGTTCCCACAGATGCATACGTTTTCAATTATACATTAACGTTCAAAAATGTTCGTTTTTTAAGGGTTTAATGTTTATTTTTTTTATAAATAATACTTTTATGCATAGAAGATGCATACATTTGATCAAATGTTACATTGGTACAAAAAATACTGTTCTTTTGAACTTTCTATTCAGCAAAGCATCCAGAAAATCAGAGTTTCCACCAAAATATTAAGCAGTACAACTGTTTTTGACATTGATAATAATAAGAAATGTTTTTTTGCGCAACACTTCAGCATATTAGCATCATGTGACACTGATGACTGGAGTAATGATGCTGAAAATTCAGCTTTGACATCATAGGAATCAATTACGTTTACAATTAAACGGTTATTTTAAATTGTTATATTTCATAACATTACTGTATTTTTGGTCAAATAAATGCAGCCTTGGTGAACATATAGGAGAAATCTTAAAATTTTACTGCCCCCAAACTTTTAAACAGTAGTACTGAAAAAAGTTCCTTATGAGTATTTTACAGTTTAAAGGTACTATCCCACACTGTAAAAAAAAAAATATATGGTTTAACTTAAAAAAGTAAGTAACCTGGTTGCCTTAAAATTTTAAGTTCATTGAAATGGAAAAAGTGAGTTAATACAATGAAGGAGAATGATTTAATCATCAGAAACTCAAAATTATATGTTATCTGAACTAAATAAATTATTTAAGTTGATTTGACAAAAGAAAAAATGTTGTGATTACTACACTGTAAAAAATATTGTTGGTTTAACTTAAAAAAGTAAGTAACTTGGGTTGCTTAAAATTTTAAGTTGATTGAACTGGAAAAAGTGAGTTAATACAATGAAGGAGATTAATTTAATAATCAGAAACTCAAATTTAATCAAACAGAAACAAAATAATAAGTTATCTCAACTAAATAAATTATTATAAAGTTGATTTGACAAAAGAAAATATGTTGTGATAACAAATCTTGAAAATATTTTTTTTTTACAGCAGTGACAGGCTGTTGCTGCTTTTGACTAGTTTGGGCTTCACATGTATATACACATAGACACACTAATGGTTCATTTCTTGTGTGGTTTAGATAAAAGAGGAGATAGCAACCCAGCTGAAACAGGAGATCTCGAAGCTTACAAAATTGAGAGAGGGGGTGCAGAGGAGACTCCAGCTGACGCAGGAGCAGAAAGTAGAGGTGGAGAACCAAAGGGAAACACTCAGGAATCAGATCATTGGACTAAAGAGAGGCAAGATTACACAAACTCACACACACAAACATTATTTTTTTTTTACTGTTTTGCTATACTTGTGAGGACATTCCAGAAGCGTAATGGTTTGGTAAAACTTTATTTCAATAGTCCACTTTAGACATTCTACTAACTATAAGTAACCTTTCAACTACAGTACAACTACACCAGACAGTTTCTGGTCTCATTGACTTCCATAGTAGGAAAAAAAATACATACTATGGAAGTCAATGAGACCAGAAACTGCCTGGTTACTGATATTCTTCTAAATATCAGAAAATCGGCTGAATGGATTCGAAAACGGTAAAAACTCAACTGTTTAACTCTGGGTGAGTTGTAAAATGAGCCTATTTCCCAAAAAAAAAAAAGAAGTGGAGTATCCCTTTAATATCTACTAACACTTTATTTTGTTGGTCCCCCAACTGACATTCAACTGACTATAAGTAACTTGGCGAATACAAGTAAATGTAGTCTCCTAACCCAAAGCCTAACACCTAACCATAACCTAACAGTCTACTGACAGTCTACTATAATATAATAATACTCTAATGAAAGTTACTTGACATGTAGTTGAAAAGTTACTTATAATTAGTAGAACGTCTAAAGTGACTAAATAAAGTGTAACCAATGGTTTTATACTGTTCAAACTGTATATTTTATCCATGCACACTAACCCTACCTCTAAATCTACCCAACTTACGCACTTTTACATTTTTAATAATACACCGTTTAGTACGTTTTTAAAGCCAAATAAGAGGATTCTGGAAATGTCCTCATAAATCATGTTCACGTTGTAATACCAGTGTCCTCATAAATCACACACACAGGTTTTTCATGTTTTATGGGGAAATCTTTCCATAGACATATTGATTTTTACAATGTACTGTATATTTTATCCCCCTACACTAACCCTACCCCTAAACCTACACATCACGCAAAACTTTCTGCTATTTTTGATTTTCAAAATAGATCATTCTTTATGATTTATAAGCTTGTTTCATTCAGTCAAATTCTTTGCGATTCTTTATTCAGATCTTTTCAGCTGTATAAACACCGTACTTCTTTCTATACATTCTTCTGGGGTCTAATTTATTTAAAGGGGTCAAATCATGCACAGCAGGACTTGCTCTTATGAAATAAAAGAGTTATGAAACATACTCTTACTTTCAGAATTCACGACAACTAAGCTAAGAAAGAATTAATTACTAAGTATGCATAAATGTACTTTTTTCAAATTTGCTGATGCAAAGCGTGTCATTGGGTGTTTTGGCTTTTTAAATGATGTTTCATGGAGTATTAATCGAATTGCTTTCAAATTTGAGTTGAGTGTTAGCGATTTGTGTGTTGGATTTTAAACCTGCCCGGATTCAAAATCTTTTTTTATTCTGCACATGATTCGATTGGCTCCCAAGACTTGTGTTAACTAGGCAAATATTACATGAATTAAAAGCAGAACACTGCCACTGACAAACCAATAACTTTCTCCCTAGGATACCCACTTCAATTTTCTTTCACCCTCACCGATTCTGTGAAGGAAAAGTTCACAAAAGTGAGACATTATACAGGCATTCCACAGGACCATAAATATAGCAGTTACGAGTTGCATGCGAATTTCAATTCACCATCTCGTCATATTAAAATTTGAAATAAAACGCATAGTTTCAAACTATATATCTGTTTCAGTCATTATGCTTGATGATCAGCGGGGCAAAGTAATGGTGATGCATGCAAACACATGAAATAACAGAAATAACCTTCTGATGGTCATAAATATGGCATATGAATGGAAAAGTGAATGAAACAGATGTATACTGAACATGTTGCTATGGTTATTTTGCACCAATTAGGGCTGGTTCACACAAAATGTGTTTTTGTTGTTACAAAAGCGAGATCAATGGAACAAAAAAAGTGCAATGTCTAGAGACTCTTCAAATGACAAGAGACGTGAGCGCAATGGTAAGAGAGTTAGTTCACCCAAAAATGTAGTCATTAATTACTCACCTTCATGTCGTTCCAAACCCGTAAGACAATTATTCATCTTCAAAACACAAATGAAGATATTTTTGATGAAATTCGAGAGGTTCCTTAAACAGCAGCAAAATCATTGCAAATTTCAAGGCCCAGAAAGGTAACGTAGACTCACTGTATTCCGGACACTTGACCTTTTCTCGCAAATTCTATAAATAAACACTTTCAGGTCATGGCGCATATATATATATATATAGAAATCAACGTGAGTTGACTGTTCAGAAAATGACAAGGGGAAGGTTTTCCGGCTGGACAAAAGGACGAGGGGAGAATACCTCCATAGAAAACGGCTCTTAAAACACGATCACCCACCAGAAAATGACGAAAAAAAACATTCTTATGGTCTTATAAAATAATTATGAGTTACAATTTGCAAATATTTGTACTTTAAGGGATTAAAAAAATAAATAAATAATAAAAATTCTTAAATAAAACGTTAGAATATAATGCTCAAATTAACAATTGTCGATTAAAAGTGTGTATTGACGCTTATACAACAAAGTTATGAAGATTAATATGATTACTTTACTAACTTATAGTTGTTAAAATGTATGCGTTTTATATTAGAAATGACTCCTTCTTAACTGTCTGAAACACAGTGTGTGGAAATTCACCGCACACCGTGAGGTATACTGACAGAGAGGTTGAGAAATGGACTTGTAAAACTAGATTATGATTTTTTCAGGGAGAGAAACCTTGACTAACATTATCAAGATGACTTAAGGGAGGACTCCTCTTCTTCCAAAAACTCTCATCTTCCTTGCTTTGTTCTCTTTCTCTTTCTAAACACAGGTAATTAGTTTTGAAGGAAGATAGAGCTCAGAGTAATTACAGTCAAACAATGAATACATCTAATTTCATTTTAGTGTTTTTCCTTACCACTTCTCTGATTTTCATTTCCAATTGTACACTGTCCTGTCCGCCTTTGGTTCTTCCCTACTATTTGAATATTACAGGTTTTTGGAAAGAAAATTATACTTCTGTCAGTTTGTTTTTCTTTTTGTCTCAGCTTTTGTCTCTTTTACAGACCACTGACTCTTCACATTTATATTTATCTCTCTCTTTCTTTTCTGATTTGATTCAGTCCCCAAATTTCTTTCTTGTTGGTTCCCCATTGAGTGGATGGCGACCTAACATGTTGTTTACCAAGCACAGCCGTCTCATTATTTATAGTACTGCAGTCAGGCTTTTTGGAAAATATAAATAAATAAGTAAATAAAAAATGTGGCTAACTACATTAAAACTATTTTAATGGGCAATTTATTTTTGAATATGTAACTACCTCTATTATTATTATTATTATTATAATTTTTTAAATCAGAACAGTTTTAATCTGACACATAAAACATTAACAATCCCAATTAGGGTGATAACCTTTAAGTTTGCGCAAAATAAAACTATTTTAAATAACTAGGTTGGAAAAATAAAGATGACCAGCAGCATGTTAGTGTCATAGTTATCATTGATATCTTAAAGGGATACTCCACTTTTTTTTTTTTGGAAATAGGCTCATTTTACCACTCCCCCAGAGTTAAACAGTTGAGTTTTACCGTTTTTAAATCCATTCAGCCGATTTTCTGATATTTAGAAGAATATCAGTAACCAGACAGTTTCTGGTCTCATTGACTTCCATAGTATATATTTTTTTCCTACTATGGAAGTCAATGAGACCAGAAACTGAACTGGTCTGGTTACTAATATTCTTCTAAATATCAGAAAATCAGCTGAATGGATTTGAAAACAGTAAAACTCAACTGTTAAATTCTGGGGGAGTTGTAAAATGAGCCTATTTCCAAAAAAAAGTGGAGTATCCCTTTACTGTAAGTCTTGAGTCTTTTACCAGTAAGTAATAAAGTAATTTCACCACAATTTGCACCACAGAGTAAAAAAGGAAAGGAAACAATGGATGGCATTGGATTCCATGGTAATAAATTGACCTTAGTCTCTGTCTTATTCATGTTCAGAGCTCATACATCTGGAGGCGTTAAACGGTCTGTGTATTGGTGTTTGTAAGGGGTAATATAATGAAACAAAAAAGGGGAAATGAATGGAACAAAATGACATTAACTATTAAGTTTCAAAACCAGTGTTTACAGGATTATGGGGGATCAGGTTGTAAATCAGTGGGTTGCGACACACAAAACAAAATGGCATGTAAAAACGAAATGATGCAGATAATAAAATGCAACTTACCATATAATTGTGCATAGGGCAGCAAAATAGAAAGGTCTATTAACTATCAACTAACAGCAGGAAAAGGCTTACGATGTATTTTGTTGCGTACATCAAAGGGTAAATGAATGCCTTAATAAAATGTCTAATACAGCTACAATTTTTAGCCTAAATTTGTTACTGCACACTAACCATGTGGACTTTGCTTATGTTTTATACCATTTTTCAGTCTTAGGCCCCGTCCACACTACTGCGTTTTCGCTTAAAAACGGAGAATTAAAACAAAAACGATCTCCGTCCACACTAGCGTTTTACCTGCGTATTAGAATTTATCTCCGTCCACACTAAAACGACTGAAAAAACGTGGATCACGTGACCATTCACCAACACTGGTGTAAACAGTGGTTGGCGAATCAGGGAAAGATACGTCGTGACTGATGACACCCAATCATAGAGTCGAGCGTGAGCCTCTGCGTCATCGTTTGTAAACTCCTCTGTTTTGTCTCGTCCACACTACAACGCCCTCCGGAGATTCAAAACGCAAAACGCAGCTGCAGCGTTTCTAAACTTCTCCGTTTTAGGTCTTCATTTTTCCCGTTTTAGTGTGGACGGGAGGTGCAAACGTAGCAAAAGGTCTCCTTTTTTAAATGAAAACGCAGTAGTGTGGACAGGGCCTTAGTTAATCTGTTGTCATGGTTGTTGATTTGATTGTATTAAGTCTGATCACTGGCTCTATTTAAGTTCATGCCTTTTAAGTTTGTGTTGTCCGGCCTAGTCTAGTCCACATTTCAATCCATTTCAATTTCAATGATTTATGGACATTGTTGTTGGGTGTGCAGGCTTGATGACCAGTGTAAAATTTGGGATGAGAAGTGAAACCATTTGATAACTACTGTGAAAGAGGTCCATGTGCTTATTTAAAAGATATCCAGCGTAATTTTTTTTTTTTTTTGTCTACTAAAAGCCCTCATATTGAGGCAGGATTGTGTGTTAATATTCGAGACGAGTTCCTGCGTTGAATGACGTATGATCTGAAACTGTTCTTTAACAGATTGGACTCGAGTCTTTTGGTCTTTCATCTCTCGCTCCCCCACCCTCGACACCTGCTCACATCGTTCTTCTTCCAGACACTATATCACCTCTCACCAACACCAGCATCCATTGCCCTGATTATACTTATGGTCTGTCCATCCCAGCTGAGCATGTTGCGATAGATTTCTCAGGAGGCTCTATGAACTAAAGGATGTGTATCCGAATGGTTTCAGCTCCAAGTGTCTGATGAGGTAGATATAGAGGTAAAGATCTGGGTGACCTGAAGGCTGCAGTTTGAGCCCATCACCACTGAATACAGTACTTTGTTTGTGGCTGGACTGTTCCTGTGAAGTTTGTCACTTTAGATCAAAGCATTGGCTAAATGACGAGTATCTTACCTTCATACCACACGCTGCACTGCTCACAGAGACCCTAGGGCCAATGTAGATGGACACTACCATCAGTCACAGTTGTTGATCATCTGACCTGTAATCCAGAGAGCTTTGAGTAGGTTGTGAGTTGAACAATTGCAACACAAAAGACCTTCCTTGTACCATTCTTTGTACTTTTTTAAAAAATAATTGTTGAGTAAGTGTATGCCTATAACATGAGTATGTGAATGTAAACATTCAATTAAACTTATTTGGCTGTTTTATATTGTTCTCTGGCCAAAAACACTGAAACTACTGTACACATTGAATCTACACAGCTGGTTTCGATTCAGCACAGTGCCAGAATTTTTGATCATCACTCTTAGAAAAAAAAAATAAAAAAAATGGAACTTTATGGTTCTTGGCTCAATTTTAAAGAAAGCTTTATTTCGAAAGATTCTAAAAGGAAGAATGTATTAAATGATTGCATAATACTTTCATCTTTCACAGGTTTATTTTTTCTGGTGATAAGTATGTTTAAGAGCTGATTAATTCTTAAAGTTCAATTAAAGCAATTAAAACTAAATAGATAGAATGATCCCATTAAAAAATCCCTCTTTTCTTCAAAGAGTGTTCAAAAGTTAACACAAAGTAATGTAAATGAAATAATTTAATAATATTTAATATTAACAATATCATGAAACAACAATGAAAAATGTATAAAAGCAATGCTATTTTTATAAATATAATTTATATAATATAAATCATTTAAAAATACTAACTCATACATTATTTAAATACAGTAAATAATAGTTAAATTATTAACATAGCATAGTAATGCAACATTTTTTAATGTCTCCTGAATTTTGTTGGTTTCATGCCTTTGGCAGCTGATAATTCACTTAGCATTTTATTTTTAATTTGCATAGTTTTGTTCTTTTTTTAAGGATGAGGACATTTCATGCAACCCATCAATGCTGTCATCCTCCTATTTTAATAAATGAGATACATTTGTACCGAAATACAGCAGAATTACTCATTTTTCTCCTGTGATCCTCTCAGAACATTTTTGAATGCATCTAACATGCTTTATTCTTTGAAATGGCAGATGAAATGAGCAAATGGAGGAGCATAAGTATGCGTGGAAGTTTCATGGAGCGACAACAACAAAATGTGCACTTAATTTATCTTAGTGTCCTTGATCCCATCTGGGCAGTTTGACAAATGATCAGACTTGTCATCAAGTCTGTAATTCAGAAATATACCTCATATTAGTGAAAGTCTCCAAGCTCTGATTGGACGGTTGGGATGGAGGGTGTTTGGCACTTGATGGATGGAGGCAGAGCCCTGTTGTCATCTTAATCGGGGATTCCACGGTGATGGATGTTGTCATCTTAATCAGGGTTGGCTGGAAGATTGATGAGATGGGCTGTGACAGCGGGGTCAGTGAGCTGGCCGTCCGAAGAGTGAGGGAGGAAGGGTCATCAGAGGATAGAACATGGAATGGCCATTTCACATGACAAGCGCAGTCCTACATTGTCCACTCATGCAAGTCTCTTCGCTGACGGCCGAGACACAGCACGGTTCCATTCTCCTGTTTCGCTGATTCTCACTCTTTCTTTCTGTCTTTGCATGTCCCCGTTCTCTTTTCTACCTCCTTTCGCCTGCAGCTGTATAATGGGCTTTTTGATTTGTGTAATTATTTTACGTTGGTCCTTCACAGACTGTGGAAAGTGCTTCTGAAAACAACCCTATTAGCGAAAAACCTTTCAAAAATAAAAGTAACAATTAGTGCTATATGTCACTGGCTTTGAAAGAAGAACAAAAAAATATTAAAGTGCCCTTTTTTCTGATTTTCTTAGAAATGGAGGTCTCAAAAAATCAGACGGATATGGACAAGAAGGCTATAGATGAACTGGTGCGGGAGAAGGGCATCCTCAATAAGGTGTGTGTGTGTGGAAACGTGTTTCCAATTTACTTCTAGCAAAATGATCTATATGAAACCAACCATAAGGAACACGTTAACAGACAAAACATCGTTCTTAGGCCTGTCAGTTGATTTTTCAATATTTAATTTTAACACTAGAAGTGCCAGAATTCCAAAACTACTAGAACGGCCACAAACGGTCATTTTGATCGTTAGATTCAAAACAGTGTTTATTTCGTTGACGAATAATTTTCGTAATTATTTTCGTCAACCACATTTTTTCAAAGACGAAAACGAGAGTAGTTTTCTAGTTTTAGTAGTTCTACTAGTTCTAGTTAGAGTAGTTTTGTAGTTTTCTTCCTTGAAATGAACACTTCGCAATATTCCTCATGTAAATAATTCCCGTCCCAAGGCATATGCAAAAAAAGGTTGAGTGGAGTTGTTTTAGTAGTGTTTTGAAACTCGTTAGGGAAAGGGGCGTGATATTTCTGAAACACACTTGAAGTGATTGACCAATCACAACACACCGATTCATCTGACCAATCAGAGCATGCACTTTTCAGAAGGAGGGGCTTCTTGGAGAGATCGAAACTAAACAGAGCGTTACTGACAGACTAGAAAGAGAGGCGTTGCAACAATTATAAAATGTGCTTTTTGAACATTCAAATATGAAAACCTATTAAAGAGTAACTAAACCCTAAACCAACTTCTTTTAGTTAATGATCTGTAAAAATGGATCTTTATTAATACCAGTCATTTATTCGAGTAACTTTTTTGACATTTGTGTATAAAGTGTTTTATTTCTACAATATATGGTGTAAAAACGTCTTAGTGCTGCCCTCTTCAGGTTGAACGTGGCTAATGGAATTTTCCCATTGGATGTTCCGAACTTCGTGACGTACGCAGGTTTCAGCTCACCACGCGAGCTAGGATAAAAACTATCTTGTTTCGTCAAAACCACAGGAATTGGAATTGCGAGTATTGAAAACGATCAGGATAGAGTGTTTTAGCATCTATTTCATCCTCTCTATCTCCGCTGGGGTCCGCCCACTTTTTCAGCATTTTTCAAATACTGCCAGTGGGTGGAGTCAGGCTCTGACCAGGGGTTTAGTTAATATTTAATATTTAACATTTAACATTATTATTGATCTGTGTTGTTGTCATTATTATTGATAATATTTAACATTTATTTAATATTTAATATTTAACAATATTATTGATCTGTGTTGTACTACTTTCATGTTATCACTGTGAAGCTGCTTTGACACAATCTGTATTGTGAAAAGCGCTATATAAATAAATGTGACTTGACTTTAGTTACCCGTTAAAAGGGAAGGGGGAGGGGGGATTGAGATCATCGCATTACGCCGGGTCTGCGTTTTGGACGTGCTTCATATCACCTGAGACAACTCTTAATACCGGGTTAGCTTTATTGCGAGTCTTTGAGGTTTATTTTTCCTCCTCACAGCTAATTTTCTGCCGCAGTTCTGCAGTTTCATAGTTCTTATAGCTTCCCCACGCTGTTATGATGCACAGATGGATTTCAGAAAACAAGAGAAGGTGCATGATGTTTTTGCTGATGTGCTGAATATTGCATTGCTATTGTGCGTATGAAAATAAAAGGATATTCATATTTAATTGCACAGGAGACACTCTGTCTCACAAATGCACACACTGTAGCATACAAACATAGCTTTTGATATCAGCTTACCTTGGAGAATCACTTCTTTGATCTATTGAATAGCAATATATCACAGAGTCAAATCCTCCTATTCTCAAGCTTGGTTTTTTATACCTATTTTCTGAAAAGTCTTTCTTTCTAAGTATATTTACAAAGTGATCTTTTGTGTATGTTGCATGTTGTATGTGCATATTTTCCCAGAATATGATCAAGGCGGCAAATGAAACCGACAAACAACAGAACTATGTTAAGCAATACGAACAGTCGATGAAGTCTCTGGAAAATGAGATTTTAAACTACAGGGATGAAGCCCAGAAACAACGAAAGATCATCTTCCAGCTGGAGAAAGAGAGGGATCACCACATAAACGAGGCCAGTGAGCTCAAAAAGAAGGTAAAGCATGTTTGAAGATACACACACGCTAAAGTTAAGCTGGGTGCACACTGTAAGATTTATAATAGGCCTTCAAATACTTATATACATTTCAAATACTTATATCACTGACAACAGTAGTCCGGCCAGGATATTGTCATTTAAAAAGTGAAATCGCAGCCCTCAACTGATGTTGATGTTGTCATGTTGTGTTTTGGTCTGGTGCTCCACCCTCCACCTATTTACCAATCACGAAGTGTGTTCCAGTATCCGGGTTGCCAGCTCTGCTGCAGCTACAAATGTATCGGATTAAAAAATGTTGGATCCTGCTGCATATCTGGCAACCTCGAGTTAGGGGGGAGGAGGAGGGGATACACAACTCTACAGTAATTTGAAAGTGATTGCAGTACTAGTTTTGGCCACTATCTTACATACGGCTCCTTTAAAGGCACGCTATGTAGAAATTGTGTTTTTAGTCACTGTACTGTAATAAATAGCTAGCTAGACATATGTGGAAATTATTGGACTGGTCTAATTATCAACAATGGATGGGTGAAAAGCATTGGAAAAAAAAGAGCAAAACTACAAAACAAAACTACAAGCAAGCGCAACAACATAGAATGCAAACAAGTTTAGAAATAAGATATTTACATAGTCTATCAACAAGATTGCCAGGTCAGCATCAATGTTGCATCCAGTGCTGCTTTTTAGCTCGCGCCAACTAGTGAAAGCCCGACCGAGTAAGACTCTTTTCCGGTTCCTCACACGGTCATATTCTCTTTTCCTTTTCCAAGTCTCTTCCGCCCGTGTTTTCCATCGTCGAGTATCACGTCAGAAATGCGTTTTTTTTTTTCAAGGAAAAAACGTTTAAATATGTCATTTTGGTGATCAGAGGTGAGTTTTAAGGGATACAATTATTAGGGGGGCTTTAAGTGATCATCTACTCACCCTGGTGTTGCTCTAATGCCATATGACTTTCTTTATATGGACCACACAAGTATAATTGAAAAAAAATGGCCATACATTGACAGTGAATATCTTCCAGCATCAAGCTTTTTATAAAAGATGCAAAAATATCATAGAATGATCTCAAGTGTTCTGGTGATATACGATAGGGTTGAATGAAAAACAAAACGAAATTTAATGTATTATTTTATGAATCTCTGTTTGATGTGCACGTAACATTCATTAGACTCCATTAGCTGTGAGAGATTGAGATCGCCAAAAATGTGACATGAAATACAACGCCTAGAAATCGCAAAAAAAACATATCCGTGTACTCCTCTCTGAGTGGAATATAACTGGACCTGAACTCCGTTTGTCTGATGGCAGTCAGAAGGACAGTTGACAGATGTAAACGCGTACATGTACTTGTGTTAATGTGGCAGTAACACACCTCATTGGAGGAATGGAGTAACCTTCACATGTCTGTGCTATTAAATAAGATGTAAACAGTTTGCTACGTATAACATTTTATTAGTTTAACTAGACTTAACTTACTCAGTAAGTGTCTCTAAAACTATGGAAGTAGAACATCAAGTATGGAAAACAGCTCGTGTCCCTTGTGGCAGTACCAAAGATGCAACACATAAATGCACTGAAATGCGAATTGAATTTGAGCCCATGTCAAAACATGACACATGAAATCTAACTTGCACAGCTTAAAATGTTTACATTCATATGCTGATACTGTATGTTTCAATCAAAATCTCTCCACATTTCTTTTTCTTAAAATCTTTTACTTTCTAAGAGTTGGTGAGAGAGTCGTTTGTAATCCCTGAAGGCATTCCTTCAGTCTGTGTCCTTCTGTGAGTTGTCTCACTAATGACTTTATAATACTGTTGCTATCGCAACACGTGTGGTCTCTTTGCATAATTCAAGGTAGTGACGTTTAGGCACTTATGGGAAAACTTGTTTATAATGGGCAACTATTAAGTTGAGTCAAGAGTGCAATGAATAATATAAATAGAGAACTGGTCTAATTAGGACTGATCTTCAACCTGTTTTACTTGGCCATTAAGCTTCATTTCATAAATGGGCAATTACGCAAAAAAAAGAAATTCTGTAAACTTTATATAGAAAAGTTTTTATATAGAATCTTAAAGGGTCATGTCAGACGCTTCATAAAGGCCACATACACAACTGCAGCTAAATTCTGTTGTCAGTTCACCTTTGAGTGTTTAATCTTGTTCTGTACACAGTAATTTACAGGAGCGATAACCGCATACTGATTAACATAATTACTGTATGATGTCAATGAACAGGAAAGACAAGTGTGAACATTCAACTCATTTGTGTTCTATTGAAGAAAGAAAGTCATTCAGGTTTGGAAAAACATTAGGGTGAGTAAATGATGACAGCATTATTATTTGAGAGTGAACTATTCCTGTTAATCAACTCTCAAGTCTACTTCATTATCTCGGCATGACTTTTTATCATAGAATGTATAAGTTATAACATAAGAAAATTACAGTTTGGTTAATGTGTCACCTGCTATTCTCAATTAATGAGTCATTCATTTAATTATAAAAGTACCTGCAATAGTGAATTAAATGCTTTTTAAGGTATTTTAAGATATAACAAGTTTTAGAACAAGTCTGCTGCTAACAAGTTATTCTTTTCAAATTACATGTTCTTAGGATTAAAACCATCTGTTGATTTTTTTTTATTTTTTTTTTGCAAATCAGAAAGCGGTGGTAATTATAATTACAGACTATGATGTGGTCGTTAAATACCTTTGTGCTAAAATAAAATCCGTCTTGAAAAGTCGTCTATGAAAAATCTATCTTTTTTGGTGTTGACACACCCTCTAGCATCCTGGCATTTGCCCTGACATTTGTTTTCTCAGGTTTTTATGTTGGGTAAGTGCACTGCACCATGAACAGCAAGATTCAGGTTTACATTCAGCTCCAGGCCCATCCTCTTACTCTCTTTCTGTCACAGACAGATAAGACTAGACATAATATATTCCATATAATAGTGTTCCTGATTCTGTGTAAACTAGGTGCATCAGTGCCTTTGAAAATCTACACCGTAAAATATAGCCAGAATTCTCACCTGCACATTCCAAATCTTCTGTCAATTTGTGCCTATATACAGTATATATATATATATATATATATATATATATATATATATTTATTGAAAGTCCATCAGTTATTGAGTTGAATTCACCTATAAATGAGAGCTGCAGAAGAAAATAAGTACTTTTATTCAGTTCAGTTTAGTTCAATACTGATTCAATTTAGTTCAGTGACATTGCTCTTGCAAAGTTCATCAATGAATGAGTTCAATTCACCTATAAAGCAGCTCTACAGAAGTCAATAGTGCTGTTATTCAGCTCAATTTAGTTCAATGCTGATTCAGTTTAGTTCAATAACAGTGCCAATGTCACAGTTCATCAATTAATGAGTTCAATTCACCTATAAATGAGCTCCACAGAAGACAATAGTGCTGTTATTCAGCTCAATTCAGTTAAATGACGTTGTTGCAAATTTCATCAATTAACGAGTTCAATTCACCTATAAAGGAGCTCTACAGAAGACAATAGTGCTGTTATTCAACTCAATTCAATTCAGTGCTGATTCAGTTTAGTTCAATAAGAGCGCCAATGTCACAGTTTATCAATTAATGAGTTCAATTCACCTATAAAGGAGCTCTACAGAACACAATAATGCTGTTATTCAGCTTAATTCAGTTCAATGCTGATTAAATTCAGTTCAATGACGTTGTTGCAAAGTTCATCAATTAACGAGTTCAATTCACCTATAAAGGAGCTCTACAGAAGACAAAGGACAATAGTGCTGTTATTCAACTCAATTCAGTTCAGTGCTGATTCAGTTTAGTTCAATAAGAGTGCCAATGTCACAGTTCATCAATTAATGAGTTCAATTCACCTATAAAGGGGCTCTACAGAACACAATAGTGCTGTTATTCAGCTCAATTCAGTTCAATGTTGATTTAATTTAGTTCAATAAGAGTGCCAATGTCGCACTTTTATGAAATGAGTTCAATACAGCTATAAAGCAGCTATACAGAAGACAGTAGTGTCATTATTCAGCTCAGTGTAGTTTGATAGAGTTAGTGGAGTCAAATCTTGAAATCGATTATATTTCCGTCAAGTTATAGCCTTATTTGAGGATACATACCGGATGCACATCTCTATAGCTCACATTATACTGTCTTACACACACAAACAGTGCGACCATGAAGGTTGCACTGCAGAAGGTGTTTATTTTGGAACAGCTTTCACAGTTTCCTAGGAACCAGAGGCTATTTAAGACACACAACACCGCTTTCATGTGTTCAGCATTGCTAACATTTGATTTCTTTCAGACAGACTGTGTGAAAAGTTGATAATCTAATTCCAGGTATAAAACGTTCAGCCGTAAGCATTAGTTAGGCCGCGTGTCGAAAAAGCTCTTCGCTGATGGTTTTGAGATTGGCCCCAGAGATCTGACTCCACACTGTACTTTGCAGAGAATAAAAATTCTCCTGATTTAGAAATAAGAAAAATGGTTCAAAACAAGTAGGTCTAAAATGCCAGAGGAAAGCTATTCGTTAGCATTCCCATTCAGAGCTGAAATCTGCCATCTTGGGACAGAAGTTTTTGAGACAATCCATAAACGTGTGACATTAAACATTTATTTACACCCTTTTCTGTTGCCTCCTTCACACACCAGCGTTGTATTACACAGTTATTTTACAACAGCTGTTACTTGCTCTAGTAGCTTACAGATTTAATTTTCATTTCAACACAAATCTGTAGATGTTCAGTGTGTAAGGCCAGCTCTAACCTCCTCCAGACTGTCTCATTACATTTTACCAATGTTCCACCATCATTAGAGGCATGATATTTGTAGAAAACCATTAAAGGAGTAGTTAACTTTAAAAAAACTTTTGCTGATAATTTACTTAACCCCATATCATCCAAGATATCCATGTCATTCGAAAATAAGTTAAGGTTTTTGATGAAAACAATCCAGGATTTTTCTCCATATATTGCACCTTACTGGGACCCAAATGGTTCAAGGTTTCAGTGCAAACTTTTCAAAGGGCTTTAAACAATTCCAGACAATGAATAAGGGTCTTGTCAAGCAAAACGATCGCTCATTAAAAAAAAAAAAAAGATGACAAATTTTAAGTTTTATAAGCTCAAATGGTCGCCTTGCTCGCGTTCGTGACTCTCCTGTTCGAACTCGTTTATCAAAATGAACAAATATTTTTTCGTGTCATTTGGTTCATTCGAAGAACGAAATGAACAAATTGACTCGGGAAAAGATTCGATCATTTTGATGAACGAGTTCGAACAGGAGAGTCACGAACATGCATTCCATTTAAGGGAATAAAAAGTATGACATTTACCAGGTTTAGATCAGTGAATTTAGCAAAATTTATTGAGGAGATAATGGAAAAACTCTATGGTGTTCACAAGTTTGATTTATAAGGCCCTGGAGCTGACTATGAATTGCGAGTTGTTGAATTTACAGTGACTGGCGTTAGGCTTTGGTTGATATTAATATACACACTATTTGCAACCTCTGGGTTCGCCTGACACTATCTCTAGAAACACAATGTTTTTGGCATAGATGTCTGAAGGCTGTTGTCTAATTGTCTCAAATTGAGGAATTTAACCCTGAATATAGCCTGAATATATATGTGAGTTTAAATGGCATAGCCTTGGACACGTTCTGCTTTCAATTTAGTGTAAAAATCCCTTGCATCCATAAAACATGTGCTCACTCCTCTGAACTCCTCGGAAACTATGCACTTTGTTCTTTGCTAAATGCACAAGTGAAAAGGTTAATATGGATTGGCAACTATTTAAACTGCAGTGAAATTCAATAAAGCCAAGTTGTTTGTTTGGTTCTTTAAACTTCTCCTGATGTGGATGTTTCTTAGTTAAAGAAAGGAAATCAAAACCTGACAAGGTTGGGAAAAGGGTAAAGGCAATCCTGGGTCTGAATTTTTCATCAGTGCAAGTTGTGTAACCTCTCAGTGAATAACATATGGTCAGTTTCAAAATTTTTCAAAACAGCTAAAAAAAATGATGTCGCTTTGCACAACATCTATGTGGGTATCACACTTATCCTTCACGGACAAGGCAATCCCAAAATTCATTGCAATGACCTAATTTACTTTCAAGATATTCAATCTAAATGAGTGGTTCTCAATCTTTTTGACTTAAGACAATGTCAAACACTATATTCGGATAACTCCTTTATTATTACACTGTAAAAACATATTGTTGGTTTAACTTATAAAATGAAGTAAAATTTTAAGTTCATTGAAATTGAAAAAATTGAGTTAATACAATGAAGGAGATTGATTTAATCATCGGGAACTCAAAATATTATGTTATCTGAACTACATGAAGTATTTAAGTTGATTTGACAAAATAAAAAATGTTGTGATTACGCATAAGGACATTTTTTTTACAGTGTAGGAACTAGGAGAGTTGATAGGTATAATTGTTAACTTTATCCTCAGTAAAAACAATATTCATTGAACATTATTTCATTTTACATCTTGATTTTTTTAGAATACTAATGTAAACAGACAACTCACTATATAGGTTTTAAACAGGGATAACTGTGATCTTGCTGATTGTCTTTGTCTGTCATTACAGGTTTTTGAGAATATGGAGGAAAATAAACTGAAGCAGATTAAGATATTTGAGGAAGAGAAGAGAATCGCAGAAGTTGAAACAAAACTGAAGCAGCAAAAGAATCTCTATGAGGATGTTAGAACAGAGAGGGACCTCTTCAGCAAGAACCTGATCGAGGCCAAGGTAAAATGTGTGTGTGTGTGTGTGTGTAGGCCTTTATATTATAGATACCAATGAACACGAGAGCAGACATGGAGTCCAGTAGATCCATGGGATGACTTCTTTGGGTAATACGCCCCACGGAAGCTTGTGTGAAGATGGCGTGAACATTAATCTTTGTCTGGGAATCCGCCCCATGTGTGAGAAGTTGGAAATAGCAGGTAACCTATCCTGCTGTGCAGATTTAGGCTTGAAAGTCTACAAAAATACATGAATGCAGATGCTTCTAGCAATGCAAAAATCATTTTCACGCATCAATGCGTTCCCAAATGTGTCCGAATGCAATTCATAGTGCAACACAAGTTGCATTCTCAGCATTGCCACAAGGAGCTCTATAGTGGGCCAGTTTTCTCTTTCAGATCTTAATATTTT